GCGACACTAGTTACTGTCTCAGTATGGTTGTTGGATTTCTCCGCTCATCGTTTAGATTTCGGCAATCAGTTAGGGCAGCGTCTGGAAGGACTGCAGGCTTCGGACGGAAACGTCACCGTAGACACAGTTGTGCTAACCGCTGAACGCGCTTCACTCCATCGTCGTAGACGTCCTCGGTCGCCCGCACCGTCAATACCAGAATCGATTCGACGAACGATATGAAATCCGCAATCCACTCGCCGAAAAGCAAAGGATGTACAAAACCTGCCCCGAGCTGGAAACGAACAGCGACCTGGATCGCCCGCTTTCCCTCCCAGAAACAATCAGCCACGCGCCAGCTGTCGATCGGGAAAGAGCCGGGATCCGAAGCGATCCCCGCTTATGTCTACAAGCGTAGGGGGCCTCCACAAATGGGCAAAGTTACAACGACATTTCATGAGATGTGGTACCAAGAACAGGTTCCCCAGGGTTTCCAGAACACAAAAATTGTTCACCTCTACAAACGAAAAATGGAACCGGCAATTCTGCAACAATCACTGAGACATTCCCCCCCTCAACACCGCAGGGAAAATCTTCGTGCGTGGCTTTCTTAATAACCTGAACACCCACCTGGAAAGAGGACTCCTCCCCGAAAACCCAGTGTGGCTTCCGACGACGCCGCAGAAACACCGACATGATCCCTGCCGCCTGCCAGATAAGAATGCCAGATGCTAAACCACCTGCACGCTGCCTTCGCGGTCCCGATGATGGCCCTCGACACAGTGAATCGCGGACTCCGAAAATCGTGCATAAATTTTCTTTGCCAGAACGATACACACACGTAGCACGTCAGCTCCACGACAGCATGGCGTGCACCACGGAGTCTAGGAAGCATTCGCAGTGGCCGATGAGTTGAAGCAAGGCTGCGTACCCGCCTGCCGGGGGGGGGGGGGCATTCTGGAACCAGCATCGCCTATAGGACCGACGGCCGGCTTTCCGACACTCGACAAATGGGAGCGTCCACGCGGACATCGGCAGCCACCGTCGATGAACTTTCCTCCTCTAACGACTGGGCACCCAGTGCCACGAAGGAATTGGCTATGCAAAGAAGCACGGCCCTCTCCTCCAGCCGCGCAAATTTCTGACTGTCAACAAAGATTAGGCAGTGGTCATGCACCAATCAGAACGACAGTAGGAAGATACCGCGTCCAGTATAAACGTGAATGGAACGGGCCTTGTATCCGTGAACACGTGTGTCTACCTAGACAGCGCCATCTCAAATGGCACCAAGATAGACAACGAAGTGGCCCACCGGATCTCCAAAGCCAGACAGGCGCTCGGTGGATTGCAGTCCTCAGCCTGGAACAGCCACGGACTTCGACTCAGCACGAAGCTTAGTGCAGAGGGTGGTAGTTCTGGAAATGCAACCTCATGAATTGGAGACGCCAATCAAGCCGGGAAACTTAATAGCTCCCACTTCAGTTGTCTCTGACGGATACTAAAGCTGAGGTGGTAGGTGAGGCAGGATCCAGGACACGAAAGTCTTGGAGCGGACCGGAATCCTCAGTACCCACGCCATGCTGCGGCAGCCACAACCGCGATGGAGCGGTCACCCGGTGGGAATTGACGAGTGCCTATCCGAGCGAATCTCCTTCCAACATATCCAGTCAACATTGCGAGCACGGATCAGCCCCGTCGAGAACTCCACCTGCTCCCTCCACAAACGTTCCCCCTCCTCATTCGCACACGAATCGCCACGGCATCGACACTCCACGACGGCCTCCGTCGACCACAGTCCTGATGCCTCAACCGACATCGCCGAACTCGCCATAATCATCCTTGCCTAGACTCCCGCGACGACTATCACTTCTCGGATCCCCACCAGGGGTGGGGACAATCCCAACGTTCTGTCAGCCACCTAGATTAGCAATGTGCACTCGACCCGAACCTGTCCCCATTACGAGGGTAATTTCATCTCACGCATAGGCCTGGTCAGTCGCTTGCGAACCCATCACGGAAAGTGACGAACTAGTGCCAGTGGTACCTACATCCGTCGCCCTAACTGTCCGCGAGCACGCAGCCACCGCAGCGGCCCCAATGCGTCAATGTGAGGAGGATCATTACAGAGCAAACCCAACCACCGCATACGAACTCGTCGTCCGTCACCTCCCACAAGCGCGGAATCGACACCCCACGCAAGTGGGGACCGAGCTCTTCAGTCACCTCTCTACGAAGCCTTTGTGGCACACACGCATGAGACTCGGAACGTCCACCCCCTCCTGTGAAATCCCGATGCGTAGGGGCCAGGTCGCGCGTTCGGCACGGGCCGCCCTCAGCTGCGCCTAATCCCTGCACCAGAGAACTGACCTGCTCGGACAGTAGGCTGGTGTCCGGAATAGGGAATTGAGGTCAATTCAACGCACACTCGCCACCGCAAACGATCTGACGCGCCCGAAAGTATCGCAATACGCCAGAAGCTGTGGCGTGAAAACCTGCCAACTGACGGGGTGACTAGCCCCCTCCCCCCATCGGAACGCCGAGACAGACTGAATTGACTTCTTAGTGGCTCTTACAGCTCTCCTACTCAGTTGGGACCCAAGCCGCCTCACCCTTCTTGCCAAATCCCAGTCCTTTGTGCGCGAAGCGTGGGGTGGTGGCACGCCTAGGCGCGGGTTTGCACAGCGCAAGTCACCGTCCCCACGTTTACCCTGCTGTGGAGTATACGGCGAGCGGTTGGAATTCCATGGGACCGTGGTAGTGTAGATCGGACCGACAGCAAAACGCAGGAACTCTGGCCAGAACTATTCTCTCGAACCAGACGAAACCGGCACGTTAAACGCGTTTCCTACGCATTCCCGTCACATTCACTCGGCACGGTACGCTGAAAAACTATGCTTGTCTTCTACTGGTTTAAAGTGGGAAACTGGGTCACATGGGGTGATTATGGACACCTCATAACGAAGTGCGAGAGCTGAGTGCCAACGAGAAGTTGATTGTCTACGCAGACCCGAAGAGTGCAATGCACCGAAAACCCCAAATTGCACTAAATATGCCACAGAATCGCCCGAGCAAACTTACCAGGTAGGGTGTGAACAACAGACCAAATTACAAAAAAGTAGATGGAAATCGTACACTGCTTCTTAATGGAACTGGGTGGGACGTTGATTCACCCATCGCTGGAATGTCACATACGGACCAAGAACAACATGACGGGGCAAAGGGCCAGAAAAGAACTTCCGTCAAAAACACTGGGATCGGTATGATCAGAGTACAATAAAATCCGTCTCGGAAAACAGCAACGGTAACCAAATGGCCATTATCAAGATAATGCCAAAGGACGCAATTATGGGGCAGTGTCGAGGCTGTCTTCGGAGTTGATGTCGACGGTCGTCCGCGAGCGATCCTCCACATCACCACTTCCCTCTTGACAGGCGGGAGGGTTGTCCACCGTTTGGTCTGGGGTCGGCACTGGGTCACCAGAAGGTCCCTGTTTCGCGGTCTGCGCACAAAGTAGGCACTTTAGAAACAGGACAAGCCATTTACCTAAAATCACTTTACTGGCCTACTAGAACTGCGGCTTTTGCAAAAGAAACATTCGGAAAACTATGAAAGTGCGGCGGTCCAAACGAGCAGTGACGCTTAAGCAATCCGGCACTTAATGCACGCCGTCTCAATCATGCATTCGAAACATAAGACCTCTGTAAACAGATTAATTACTTTAAAAGTGACAAACGTAGCAAGACATTGCTTACAATGTATGAAAGTGCACTAAGAAATGTGGACAATCAGATCCGAGTAGCGCAAAAACTGTTTTGTTATTATCCATTAATGTCTTTCTTGGCAAACTAATAACAGGACGATAAAGCCTGTTTAATGTTGGGTTATCAAGACTAAAAACAGGTCCGTTTTGAGTTTACCACTCCCTGGACAGATAATCCCCCCGTGGCCCAGTCATTTATTCACTATTGTACTTACATCAGATGCAGGCAGGGTGGTCTGACGTGTCTCAGGCAGCTTCTCCTGTACAGTCGGCAATGTAGGCGTAGGCGGGTTAGAGACTGGGGCGACGCTGCTGGTCCGAGATTCTGAACGCCTCGAGTCACCCCTTGAGGTTGAAGAGGACTCATTGCTATAGAGATCTCGCTTCAGCTTGCGTGCTCCACTACGTAGTGAGTGCACTGTAGTCTCTAGGATACAGGCCTGAGACTCGAGTTGTTGAAGTGTAGAGGAGAGGATGGCTCTTCGCTCATGACATCGATTTTTGTAGTGATCGGCGGTCGATGTCATTTTCTTCAACTTCTCTCGCAACTTGGGTATCTCTTCATTTTCAGTCTTCAGTGATTCTAAGGAATAAAGCAGCGACAACTTAAACTCACAGCATGTTCTGCTGAAAGGCAAATATGCCCTTCAAAACTACACTCGTGTGTCTTTCAGCCTAACATTCATATGAAATCTTCAAAGAATCTAGCAGCAAGGATAAAGTCTAATTAAAGTAGACTGACCAATAAAGAGCTCCCGAGTTTTCAGATTCTCTTCCAAACGGAGGCAATCGTTTTCCAACTTTCTTAGCTGCCTGAGGAAGTTGTCGGCAGTAGAAAATTCGGTCTTGCTAGCAGCTTCAGTGTCGACGTCGGAATCCTTCTTGAGCTGCATCCCGCAGAAGATGCTGAAATAATTGAAGGCGATGTGTAAATAAACGCACACGGTTTCGAAATAGAAGTCTACAAGACATGCACCCAGGACTTCTATTGCAAGAGTTTCGAATGAACAAATGCACCGCCAAATCTTCAAGATGGCAAAGTAGGGTTTGTATGGCATATCCAGAGTCATACATGGCTGTATGTCATGCGACTTTACTTTTGTGCAAAATTCCATGTACTTAATCATCCTGTACTTATAAGCGTACGGTTAACTACTTTTCGATAATACCTGTTAGAATACGACACAAAATATCTAACCCCGGAGGTAGGACCCCGCCGGAGGAATCGGAAGTCGCTCGGGGTCAAGAGAAGGTAAGAATTCGCTATCATATCCGTCTAGCCTCAGTGACTTATGTCTTGCCTATAAATAACATGCGGGGGAGGAGGCGTTGCTCCCGGCAACAACGTTGCATCCAACAGGAAACATGCGACGTGGCCATGACTGATTATGCGACAATTGCAGCCGAGATGATTTGTGACTCCTATGCTCAAAGATCGGTGAGTGGTAACGGTAAATCGACGATTTTCCCAGTTAAAACGATAGAAAAAAACGAAAGATGTCAAGAGCAGCAGTACACAGGAGGAACTGCCTGGAGATGACTCTCTTCCTCTTCGTCAAGAATTGCATCCCCTCCACGGACAAGCTCCTCCAAATATTCCTCGTCATCGATCAGCGAAAGTGGGGTCCCAATGAGTTCATTGAGATCCTCAGTCACCTGTTCGTAAGAACGCTTTGAAGGCGCTCGGTTTAACTTCCCTGCGCCAGAGTCCTCCTTAGTCGCTGGTGAGTCGGTAAGGGATCGGTAGAACAGGCATTTACTGCTCGAGGCGACGTTACTGCTCAAAGCCCGGACCTACAAGGGAAGTGAGCATGTTATAGTTCACTGGGAATGATACCGGCATCATATAAGGTTCAATGTGGGTTCTTTCTGACACCTGGATCTACGGTGAAAAACATACAAAGTTGCTATTTCCCGACAACACTGCAACTTTCTACCGCGAAAGCGCGCCCCGAGGTACGAAATTTTAACATAGCGCAATTAATATAGCTAAAATTCCTGGAAATTCAGACAATCTAGGTGTGCTAGAACATAGAGTAGGGGTATATCGACCTTGTGTATGTAAAGAAAACAGACCGGAGACGTGTGACGTTTTATGCAAACGGGGGGCGTAGAAGGCCCCATGAAAGTGTAATTCGTCTAGACGGCACCAGGATCCCAATCCAGGATGATTCTGATTTAAAAGACGGTCTTTAGACAGCTCTCTGACTCTGATTATACCTAGCTCGCTGACACTGATTATAGATTCGACCGATGACTTACTTTACGCCAAAGTAGTTGGAAACAGCCACCATATTTCATAAATACGAAAATGTCAATAGCCACCAGGGCTACAGAATTCGGGGCATTGACCGATTATGCTGTCGGTATAACTTCCAGTCAGTCTCTCCGCTCCTCCCACTGCGGTGGAAGCCCTAAGATAGTTGAGCTGAGATGAGCGATGCGTTGCCAGTTAGGACAAGGAAAAGTGAATGACCATTTCATGCCTACTCACGTGCACCAACTGGTCGCGGTTGACCCCAGCTATGTAAGCTATAAATGACAATTACAGTCCGCCTCGCCTTTAATAATTTTTGATGATTGACTATTCCTCGTCATGACACCGTGGACGATAGGCCCAATTTGGAGGTCTAGGACAAAACGCGATTAGTCGTAATCGGCCCAACGACCAGGACAGATTGGCGAATATGGTGGAAAACAAAAAGCTGCTGTGAGTACAAAGTGGGCTTTAGACGCATAAAAACCAACCTGGTATCGTGAAATAGGGAGACAGAGCGAGTTGACGATGCTCTCAACATTATACATGCTGAAGGAGCCCTTGTCCGAGTAGTCCAAAAGTTTGCAAGCAAACAGCAGAGGTAGATCGACAATCTTCGACTGTGGCATGGGAGCTGTCGCGGGACCACCGATTCCCTTTATGTAGCTCGGTAGTGTAAATGTGGACTGTGTGGCTTCCGTGGGTTGTTCTACAGAGGTCCGTGGCTTCTTTGAAGGTTGCTCGGAGACCGACCTAAAACAAGACAAATAATTTTCAGAGGACGAAGGGCAGGATGATAGAGGGAGTTAACAAAGCGAACATGTGGAGACGCTCACTTTGTTTGTCGCGAAGCATCCTGAGTGGACTTTAACTGTTTACGATCTGAGAGGACAACGAGAGCCTTGTAGAAGGTGAAAGTGGCATCGCGATGAAGCATGTGCAGTATGTGATTGGCACAAACAAAAAGTTCGTAAACTTGATTGCACGGCTTGTAGTGTCCCTTGGAGAGAGTGATGATTGTCTAAAAGAGGAAGGGAATGGTGGTATTCAGGAGATATGAGAGGGGACGAAGTGTAAGAAGTCGAACGTCAAATGATTACCTCAAGACTGCACACAACTAGAGAAAAAGGGGCGTCCTGTTTCAGCTGAACAACCAGAGAAGGCTGTTCGGGCAAAACGGGTAGTTTTGGTTCCGGGCGATCGGGTACACTAGAGGACTCTGTGGCTGTTGTCGCCGTTGGAGCTGCAGTACCCTTAGGGGTTTCGGTTGCTGAGCCGGTCTTGCCTTTTTCGGCTGCCGATTCGGCGAGTGCTGCATTCGCTGCGGCCTTTCTTGCCGCCTTTTCCTCTTCCTCAACTGGACAAAAAGCGTGTGGTAAGCCACAGAACATGGAGGTCTGATCCAAAGGTTTACAAGTAGACAATTTTAGAGGTTCAGTAAAAATGACTGTGCTGGAATACCACCAGAAAAAGACGCTGACTAGCAACCAATGACCATAAGAGCTTGGTTTATTCGTCTTCACTGTCGCAGGCCGAAGCCGTCTTGAACGTAAGGTTTGGCGGAGTACAACAGACGGATAGAGAAGTCGTACACCAAGACGGACGATGACAATGGTAGTACGGGGAATGCTAGGGAAGCAACTTTTCGGTCATTCACTGATACACGGGGATTGCGAGGTTTAGCGGAGTCGGAAGTCGTTGCCTGAATTACAAGTGAGAAAGACTATCACTTGGAATTGACCAAGGGCATCATAAGCTTGCTCTAGTTGCGTGCATGCAAGCGGTGGAGTTGGTGGGGTTGTCCACAAAAGGTCTGCGAACTGCGATAGAAGACAAATACAGCCCTCAGTCATACCGGCGAGCCAATAAGTGGATGATACAGACTCCTATCCGGAGAACGCAAACACACGCCCTTATCTAATCCAAAGGATCCGAAACTGCCGATGTCATAGGCAAACACAGAAGTTGTTTATCGGTTGGGACAGCATACGTGTCAGGGTTGATCCGCTGAGACGGGGCAGATATTTGCATCGACGATCCCCCTAATTTGTCACGCAACATAAATATGACGAGTAGACTGGTAAGGTGATACGCGAAGGAAGTTGGAAAAATTTATGACTGCCGGATCACCAATTACGGATTACTTCGGCGTGGCTGGTACTAACGCCTTGACTTATCAATTGAAATACAGAACTCTGCAGAAAACCCACACGGTATTTCCAGACCAGTAAATCGCTGCGAAGCACAGGAAACTGGTATAGGTGTCAGATAAAGGGTGCGTAGGAGCGCACAGGAATCGCAGTTATGGTCTGCTGAGTGATACCCAAAGACACGCGTGTGGTCCTTCAGGTGATCTAAGAATTCCCCAGGGGTAATCTCACTTAACGTTTTAAGTCAGATTGTGCCATATCCATGCCAGTCAATGACTTAGTAAAAAACACAGGTAACTTAAAGTACGGCTTTATCAATATTCGGGCAAACAAATTGGTATCTGACTACTAAGAGGGAATCGCCCGGTAAAACGCTGGAAATATGTACGTGGTCTTTACCCTACAGTACTAATCTTCACTTCCATAACCCATGCAACAAGAGTGGCATGCGCCACAACTACAGGCAGGTACACTTCGGCTGTCCATTGTAGGAATTTCTGCATGCAGATAGCAATCCATAAACATGACTGACTGACTGACTGACTGGCATGACCGCTCTGGTAAGAGTTGCGGTGGTGGGGGTAGTTATTCGGTGAGATGGACTAGGCAAACTTTTCCGTACGAACTATAAGACAGGCTAGTTGGATGCGTGGTTGGGGGTTACTCCTGAAAACAAGGAAATTTTAGTTAAATTACAACTAAAGTGGTTTCTAGTAGTAAGCAGAAATTTGGAAAACTTACGTTTTTGTCTCGCAGCCTCGTGTTCCGCTTCAGACTCCAAGGCAGCCTTCAGGCGTGCAAAGAGTTGAGCCTTTAGACCACTTGTGTCTAGCTTTCGCAAGGAAAGTTGCTCACGGAGTTCAGAAACCTGAGGGATGCGTAAACAAACACTTATCGAAAAATGAAGTCTAGGAGAACAGGTGACTGGTTTTTCGAGCAAGTGAGAAACTGTCGACAGACTCCACAAAGGAACAAAATAGGCGGAACAGTGTTGCAACAGGACCTGTAGTAGGATAGCAACTTACTGTGAGCATATAAAAGAGTAGACCAAGGACGCATGTGTGAAAACCCCATCAGGCCATGTGTTCCCTCGACGAGTGACTAGTCCAAAGCATTCCGAAAAATTCAAGTTTTTTACGGATAATCATCCGAAACTTTGACGCCAGTGGCCACACTGTTTTCCAACTCCAAAGAACATGTACATAGACGGGACACGGCAGTCCTCCGAGGCCCAAAACGGGGGCGACTGTTTCAAGATTTGATGCGCATTCCTCTCCGGGGCAAACGTCCAACATTCTCGACGCCAGAACACTTACTTGACTTGTACTTGATACGGCTGCGATCATCCCTGATCTAGCCGGCCTCGATGATGTCCCGAACTGTACCTCTCCACGCGTGACGATCCGCGGCAGCAGATCTCGACAGCTCAACCCATTCCCTTCGCCAACGACGTAGACCGAATACCGAAGGTCCAAGAACCACCTCCATGTCTTCACGAACTGTGTCGAGCCAGGTTTTCAACTGACCTCCTCTTCGACGCCTTCAATAGGGCAACGGTGCCGGATCGAGGGCAGTAACACTGAGTTCTTGAGGTGGGCGACGAAGAACATGCCCGAACCACCTCAGTCGTCTTTTTGGATGGTATAATTATCCTTGCGATGTTGTCGCAGCGCGCGCGGACTGTCTCATTTGAGACGAAGTCGGTGAACTTCACTCGAAGGATGGTCCTCAAGCAGTGGTGGTCAAATACCTCCGGTTTTCGCTCGTCCTCCACGCGCAAAATCCAGTATTCACAACTGTAGAGACGGACAGACCGGACAGACGCATGGTACACGCGAATCTTAGTGGCGATGGAGAGGTCACGTCGGTTCCATAGACGTCTCCGAAGGCTTGGGAAAATCCAGCGGGCAGCATCGATTCGGGGGACAATGTCGTTTTTACTCTGTCCATTAGGCAGCAGCCTTGCCCCTGGGTATTTAAAACTGTCTACTTCTTCATGTTGACAGCCATCAACCCCGAGGAGTGCCCTTTTTTGGTCAGGGATGCGGCTTGAAAACACTTTGGTCTTCCCAGCGTTTATGGATAAACCGACCGATCTCGCGACCTCGTTCACCCGTGACACCACAGACTGCAGATCACCAAAATTTAAAGCAAGTAAGACTCAGTCGGCATAGTCGAGATCAGTCAGTCGATGTCCGGGTGCAAACTCAACGCCGTCACTCTCGCGTAGGGCCCTCCCGAGGATCCAGTCAATAGCATAGTTGAAGAGAATGGGTGACAGGATACAACCCTGTCGGACTTCAGACCGAATATCGAACGGTTGGGAAAGATTGTTGCGGATCAGTACTCTCGCAGTAGTGAAGCGATAATAGGCCTTGATCATGGCGATGATTATTGCCGTACACCATCTAGCGCCATTATCCGCCACAGGGACTCACGGTGAACGGAATCGAACGCGGCGGCAAAGTCAATGAAGCAGACGACCGACGGTTGTTGGTAGCTATGGCGAAATTCGAGAATGCGCCTCAGTGCAAATATCTGGTCTGCGCATCCACGTCCAGCACGAAATCCGGCTTGGTTGGGCCTCGTCCTCGAGTCAGAACACTCACTGAATGACGAACGAGGAAGAAACCGAACGGTAAACACTCTACACAACGGACTTTCAATGCAATTTGAGCTTCAGTGACTGATGCCGGGAACACGGCATGCAAGGGGCGGCTACGAATCCTGGAGGAAAAGCGTTTGAGACCTTGAACGCTGTTAAACTGCAAAGATACTAGATCTATGATTGCAAAGAGGAGCCAGTTCCACAATGAATCCACTGAGGCGACCAGACGATCAGGGCAGTGTCGCGTCCGATGGCACTCAGATTCACAGGCTCGGTCCTTCCGGCTTTCGTTCAGACGCCCTGGAGTCCGACAATAACCGCGATTGCGGTTTTCGTCTACCGAAACCCTTTACAGGACAGCAAAACTGAGCAAAGAGCCTTGGAGGATTACCTTCGACAGCAACCTGCGAGTGCCACTTGTCAGTACCCATCACATTATCTGATTCGGGAGAACCCTTACAGCACTGATGTTAAGCAGACATCCAAGAAATGTGACAAATCGCGCGATGACAAGCGACATAAGCTTTACTGGCGTAGTCGTTCAACGCAACGACTTTCATGCATAAACAAAACGAACCGGCGTTACTCTAAACCATTTTGGTCAGTGCTCCGCGCCACGCCGTGTCCGCAAACACCGAAAGTGCGATTAGTATCCAACTAGTCGGATTCAGCATCGGACAATTCCGTTGCTTTCGATCGGGCCTTCGTCAAAAGGACAAGATGGAGGTGAAGTCGCCCATGGGTGAACTAGGAGCGAGCAATCTATGTCCGACTTTATCAGAGCCCCTGGAAATGGCGTGAGAATGACAGAAAACCAAACAGCGAGCATGAGGTCCCCGAAAGGATCATTCCATATGGATGCGAGACATGGTCCACGCACTCAAAGACATCAATTGTCGGGAAGTACTTAACTGATCCTGCTTTCGATCCATTCACAAGCCATCTATGACCGCGTCCTTGAGGAATGACGAAACCGTCCGGCAAGATCCCAATTAGTCAGTTGCGCCTTACGTATTGCCTTAACCGTCAAAAGCGGACAACACAAAGTATTGTCGGAATAGTTCTTACTCGGGCTCTTAGCAACAAATTTTCAGGGAAAATAGACGAACTGGAAAGTCAATATACGTGGATATTAACTGACAGGCATTGCGTACGAATATGACTAACCTTGAGTACGTTAATGTCAATTTTGCTGTGGTGCATCAACCGAGGGTTACCGTTGGCCGCTGAGCCCTGAAACAGACAGAAGTGTCAGACAGAATTAATTGGGAGTAAAGTCTAAGAAAACTCCACTCCCCTAAAACAAACGAAAGGTCATAGGCCTACGCGACTTATAACAAGCCTTTGAGAGGGCACTGAACTCCCTAGTTTAGGTATGGAGGAGTGCCTCCAACCCTATCGAAGAGGTCGGTGTGAAAGAAGAGGAACTTCGGAGGAGCTTCCGGGGACACTTAGTCAAGAACCCTTGTACAAAGAACAACTAAACACAGGGCTGCACCTCTTGTACCGCGGGCGGTTCTGCTTGAGCCCCAGATGATCCAGAATCCGTATCCCCGACAACTCCTGGTGCGTTTGCGCGGATTTCCTCTGTTTCTGTTGCTTCCTGTTTAAGTTGTGAACATGTTTGGCCGTCGGACATTCCTGAGGAATCAGAAGTTGGAGAGTTTGTAGCAATGCCATTCGCCTCCACTGATGTGCTCGTTGGGGTTGCGAGATCAGACTTGACAGTGTCGGATTTTTGGTCACATGCGACGTACGACTTTGGGTCCTGGTACTTGGATTTGATTTTTTCCCACTGCTCCGTGTCCGGCATGATCGACCAGATGTCAGGTACAAAGTATACAACGACGCGGTGAGATGATGCGAAGTCAGAGTCCTCAGGAGTGTGTGGGGAGGGGGAAGAAACACTATTTTCAGTTTTCTTCGCGGCTGGAGAAGAAGACGCGGCAATAGGCTCCGTATCGGATTTAAGACGGTCTTCTGGAGGCTGTACTTTAGAAGAACGGGCAGACTTTTCGTCGGCTACTGTTGAATCACGAGATCTATGCCGTTGGGAATCCTGACGACTGTCCTCGAAAGCGCCCCACTGTCCTCCCTTTCCGAAAAGTTCATTGACGGATGGCCAAGATTGACCTTCAGAGCGGCTATATCGAAATTCGAGGAAACGATACCTGGAAAGGGACAAGGGATAGACGGCAGGAGCAGAATCAGCGTCTATATTTTAAAATGGAGACGCAATGAGATGCAAGACGGTGGACCTAAGTAGGCATTAAAAATTTATTTGGTCTTAAGCCGAGCGATCCTGTCATGTGCTCTGACAGTGGCTTCCTACACAAATGGGAAAGCCAAAGCTGTTTACGAACTTGCGGTCATGCAAGTCCTCTTCAGTCGGGTTTGAATAGATGGGTACAGAAATGAAGACTGGTCCGGAGAGCCGCTATCACTGGATTATGGTTGACAACAACTCGGTAGTCGTTAGCGACGAGGTCCACCATTGTCCCAGAAAGGACACGGGTGACTTGCGCGTGAATATGTTTATAATGGGGCGAACACGCGCTCCACCTACCTCACGCTCACCGTTTCCCGAAGGCAAGACATGTCAAAGTGGCCGGATATGATAGTGGACGAAATAGCAACTTACAGAAGAAACCAAAAGCATTGAGGAAAGCAGTTGAATCTAGTAGCCCAGACGGGCGAGACAAGATGCGACTCTAGATGGGATAGAGTTGATCTGGGACTATGCTTACGAAGTCTGTCTGGTATAGAAGGGGTGAGCGCTTCCCACATCCATTCTGAATAAAAAAAAACGCCAATTTACCATCGAGTACATCCAGACAGATCCAGGCCCACTTCATCTTTGCATGTCCTTATGGCAGTATTGACAAGCGTCTGAGGGTTTGACACCGGATCGGTGCCATCCAGTTCTGGAATCCAATCGCCACCGATGGCGCGCAGGCCGTCCCGAGACGCGGTTAACATGCTAATGCATTTTGTGAGCGGACGAATTTTCGACTCGGGCGCTGATGCCACACAACGTTCATACAATTCCGAGGGTGGAGGGCAACTAAGAAGGAGGACGCCGACGGCGAATGCGGGATTCGGTTGGTAGGAGTGATCCTCAACGTTGACTAGACGCACGGCCATTTTGTTGACTTGCTAAAGGGAAGGGGCAGAAACAAGATCTAATCACGCTATGCTCAACAAACTAAACAACACTTCTGTGGGTGAAATGCTGCACGCTGGTAATATAGCGCGAGACCGGGCTCAGCAAGACAAGCCACTAGTGAAGAAGATGCAGACGATCACAAAAACTGGCTAATATTCCAGACTCAGCAGCTATCGATCAGGAATGAACTGCAGCCGTTTTAGGGTCTCACTGTAATGACCTGTAGGCATCTCCCACGCGGAAGGGTTCACGACATTAAGCAGTGACAGCGCGGCCCAGGGCAGGTCGACGGCCAGCCGACCCGCTGTTTTAAGGTGCTTTCCGTAGCTTTCAGGCCAAGAATTAGACTTCTAGGCCGAAAAAAGAGATAGCAGCGGGTCAGGTAGGAAGTCGTCCGGAGCTCGAGCCTAAGACACCAATTTCATAAAAGCACTGCCTGACCCATCACCATTTAATACGTGTTCAGCTATCGCTACCAGACGTAGTAACCCCGCGTTCGGCTGAGCAAGAAATTAGCCGGCGACGACAAGTAGCTCATTTTTACCACTTTCGAAACAGCTTGATGCAGGTCGTATCGATTGCATTACATTTGCACACTAACTTAACCCCCAAACTTTTAAGTGTCGTGCTGAGTCGCACTAATGCTTCTAAAAATCCCAAAAATCGTGTGCACACGCATGGTGGTCTGTGGTGGCGAATCTGGGGGACAGGACACTTCTCCAGCAACGGAAACCAAATTGCGGAGGTCCGAGGACCTGTCTTGACTGATCGCTTACAGCAGGTCTTAGACGAACCTCTTTGACGCCTACGGGTGGTCAGCGGGGTCGGATCGAGGACAGAAACGCCTAACTCGTGGGGCAGACGACGCGAAACTCGTTCAACCCGCCTCATCCGCCTCTATCAGACTACCCGAGATGTTCTCGAGACGCAGTTGCGACGAGTTCAGACCGTCTCAATCGAGACGGAGGATGATCTCAAGGTGACATTGGTCAAACAGCCTACTCGCCGCTCGTCATGCGGCGGGAACCGGATTTCTGCGATTAAAATACAACGGTTGCAATCGTAAAGGATCATGGCCCTCGACTGTCTACATCCTACACGTTAACTAAAAGCGATGAATTTCGGGTCCGGCGACACCATTTCACAACCTGGAAAAGATACTTCCAGTGGTTAGCAACGCAACAGGCGCTCAGATTGACACGATATCAGACGTTACGACATTTTCGGTGCGGATGATAAACAGCTTATGGGAATACCCAACGGCACTATTGTCTGTAAAGCGGTGATAATTCAGGCGTGTTTTGTCCATGAATAAAAACTGGGTACACACCCGTCTTTCCATTTCTATCACGTGAAAAGTATAGCGGGGCCCAGGCATATGGCGACTGGAGTATGCAGTGGCGAGCCTGTGGCGAAGCTCCCGCACACGACCGGTCGCTCACTTCACATAAACAGAACCTAACTCAAATCCCATTCCGGGGAGCGTTGCCGCAAGGACACATTAGGGAGCATAGCAACCGGGCTGAGATTTCCGGGTAAAAACTATTAACATACTGTGATAGTTCTAAAGCAGGCGGAAACTACTGTAACGAGGCAAGGACGCGGGGACGGTCGTGCCACCCTCCTTTTTCGTCGTGTACCATTGGAGAATCTGAGTTGAGGCGACTGCACGTTATGTCTGATATAATGACGAATGCGGCATATCGACTTGTTTGGCCTCCCGCCCATTGTGGCTGTTTGAGAAAGAAAAACTACTGGCCATACGTTAGCTGGCAGAAGACGGAGATATGAATAGAAAAAACCAGCTGTCAGGAGAATGAAACTGTCCCAGTCACTGCCATTTACATAGACATGGTGACAGTTTCTGCTGCATGACATATCGGACTTGCCGGACCACAATGGATATAACGCCTTTTGATTTTTGTCATTAAATGGCCGGAGAATTCACCGCCCAATCACTGTTCAAAAATGCGCCCATGTAACAGATGGGTGCGACACTCGAGTTCGAGGAGAATTGCACTATAAAGCTCCCAAATGAGTGCTCAGGACAACAAAGTTCAAGGCCGTGTCATAAGAACCAAAAATAATTTACTCACGTGGAAGCGGACTTCTTTTGAAGACTGGAAAGGTTGAGTCATTGGAAAGGAATCTTGCCACGCACACTTGACTTTGTACAGATAGACAGGAGGGGCAATCAATCTGTAAAGGGAGAAGAGTTCTGGTGGTTTCAGATCCCGCACTACGGAAAGCCGGGTGGATACCGCGTTCGGCTGCAGAAGAGACTGTAGAGCAGGTGTGGCCAAACGCAGTTCCCGCGGTTCGGACGCTCTCCTGCTTCTCTGATATGCAGGACTTCGGCTTCGCGAAGGCGGGCGTGAGTGTCTAAAAGTGTGTAAAGTGAACCCATTTTACCTTCGTTCAGCTTCGTGGCGGTGGTCCGATGGTCTGTCTTTCCGAGAAGATCTGTGATCTAGAGGACGGGAGAACTGCGGCTCGAGTCGAACATTGCGACGGTCGTCTGTGTGGTCAGGTTCAATGCGCCAAACCTGCTCGGCATTCCACTTTATGGGAAGGTCCGGGTGGAAAGTGGCGTTTGCGGCCACAGTATCACCGACATTGACCATAGGACCGATAACGCAGCTACAAATATGTTAATGAACTCTGCGACCTACCGGCGCTGGAAGAATATTTCATCGTTTATATATCCAAACGTGGGATACAACTTTGTCACAGTGCCCACGCGAGGCTCATCGGCACGCCCACTTAGCCTCCTGTCGTCCTTCGAGGCGTACATTATGAAACTGATCTTCAAGTCACTAGACTTAGAAAAACAACGCGCCTATGCAGCGTTATGGCGAACGTATTCAATATCGACAATTTCCTATCTAACAGTGGATGAATAAATTCCTGACGATACTCCTGCCTTTGTGCAAATAATTAAATAAGCATGAGGCTCAGGTTAGGCACAAATGTTCAGATCAAAGCATCATAGTAGGTCGGTAATTAGCAGCCACCGCAACCAAACGTAAGAACACTTAATCTTCGAGGAGAATGTGGAAGATAAATGCACAAGTTAAGTGAACAAAAGCAAGATACAGAATTTTTTAATGCTTTTGTTTTCGTTTAACCTTTGAGATTATTCGGAGTCGTATGGGCTTAAAAGAATAGATAACGGCTCACTTTCTCAGCAAGCAGAATAATATGTCACTCTCTTGACACAGATCTGCACGGGTGACCGTTTCGCCTAAGCGCTGAGTACTCGGCGGAGACTTACTGGGTAAAGCTGAGTTATCTTGAGTGAACACAAGTTAAAAATTTTGGGGCGCATTACGCGAGCTGTAGAAATTTGGACTAGAAAGCAGGAGTTACGGCGACAACAACAACAACAACAACAACAACAACAACAACAAAGAATGAAATGCTAGCACGCTGAATAGAAAACCCTTACGTTTAGTTGGAGTTAAGCAATGCTCCGCTACCGGAGAGTGGGGCACGGGACCTATCTTTTATTTCTTTTTCCCATAGAGAGTTCGACCATCGATTTTGACGATGTCCACCAAGTGCTCCATGGCAAGGTGACAGCAGGATCGGTAACCTCCCTGCTAGCACCAGCCCCTTCTAGCCCCGCCTAGCCCCCTCAAAAATGGCGATGCCAGAGTTGGCTATGAAGGGGCTTCGTGGAGCTGTAGAAGGGCTGTGGCGGGGAATTCAACACATCAGCCCCGCCTGGCCCCACCAGCGAAAAAAATGCGCAGGGACGCCAGATTTCCACCCACTTTTGACACTCCTTTAAATATCGACCTGTATGATGAGTCCCCAGAGGCGCACACACATAATACCTGCCGACAGAAGTTTCAGAGCCCAGAATAGGCATTTCTCATTCAGGGGATTGATTTTCAACTGCTGTCGACGTTGAGGGGACCTGAGATTGCGGCTCTTCAGTGGCCTCATAATATGCCTTCCTCTGGCGGTAATGCGCTTGTATATGGTGGTTTGGTGAGAGCCACAGTAACTACGCTTCATAATTGCCTTGGATATTCAGTAAAAAGCGATAAAAAAACTTCTATATTTGGACTATGAACACCAATGCTAACTAGTACATACATAGACATACAAGTCGACTACTTGAACTGGCTTGTGAGTAAATACCCAAAAAATTAGCATATGATACATAAATTAACTAAGACAGTTATGAAGAGCATGAAAACAGCATTGGTTGACGCATGATATTATCCGCGACCAGTCGGCGTAAACGAATGCTTTTTCCATGGATTATAAGCCATTTTTGATAAATTAGCTCCTTTTAATGCCAATGAATGCACAATCAGTGGTGCTTTTGAAACATACGCTTCAAAATGTTTCAATCCAGCGGGGGCTGTGGCCCCATCCAGCCCCTTCCCAGCACCGCCCAAGAAGGGGCCATTTGCTGGCAGGACTGTATGTGAACTAGTTTGAAGTAAACGTAACCTGGCATAACATCTACGGCTGCCTCTCCTACTCCCCTAGCAGGACCCGGCGTCACGGTAGAATCAGAAGAACGGTGGCGGAAGAGGACGCTGGTGACTGTCACGCTGTAAACCTGCACCTAGGTGAACCACCGCACCCCACACACACCCTAATACACCTAGCACAGCAAACGCTGACCAAGATTTTGCATGCGATAAGGAAGGAGGCGGCTCGGAGTGGGACTCACAAGAGTGGGCCAAGCGCGCATCGAATTCTGTTGGAGGTCCACACCGCAAAATGAGCTATGTACATCGAACTCCAATTTACAAAATTTTCGCGAGTTCTGGGAGTTTGAAAAGTCGAGGTTCATTTGAATCCAGCTGCATGATTACTCAACCTCACTTCATTTCTCCCCGACCTGCATCCCATCCCACGCCCACTCTGCGTCATTTATTACATTAAGGGGGTAGTTTGGGGGGCCTACTTACGACTGCGCTATGCTATGGATGAAAACCAATGTTAAAACCGTGGGTAGTATAAAATGTTTGCCAAGGCAGGATTTACAGCGTTAAAATGTGTATGCATGAATGTGTGGAATATGCATATGAGGGATAAACAAATATAGATTTTGACAATTTACGTGGAAGGGTGGGGTAAGCAATGGTAGTTAACTTACACAGTTTTGAAAGGAACTGGGTCGCTGAAAATGATAAAGCGTCTCTGAATGATACCCTTCTGGACGGCAACCGTCAATGCATGCTTTAAACAAAATAAAATGAAGTGTACTAAGTGAGCATAGTTCGAACCGTACCGAAAATCATTTAACAGATCTTCAATCCGAACTGGACACCGTAATCTTTGTGTCTCCCTAATAAGGAGAGGTGGAATGGCTTTGTACATGTGATAATTGCCGAAAATGTGTGCCTCACAAAACTACTCACTCCACCTGATCAAAGAGTTTGTATATGTATGCGCGTATGTGTTTGAAGGTTAAAGACGGAGTAGTTGATTTTTCCTCATTTCAGTGTATTAGGAGGGAAATAGGCTTACAGACATATTTGGATTCCTATTCGTCCCGCAAAAATAGGAAGAATTAACAGCAATATAAAGAAAGTACAGCGTCAAGTGAATGTGAACTAAGATCCACATAGATCATGGATTTTTATGGTTACGTAGTCCCATAGGCCACCTGCTGCTGCAGCATATGTCAGCCAAGCCGATGTTTGAATGTCTCCGCGGACAGATATATTACGATCGTCTTGGGCAGGGGACTCCACGGTTTCACGACACGGTTGAAAAAAATACATTCTCATCTTCGAGTATTCTTTGGGGCCCACTTAGTTTGACGGGATGTCCCCCTAAGTTAGTTGTGCAGGCGAGTTGAAAAAGGCCATGGCACTGGAGGGCACAACTTTAGTCAAGTGTGGTACGGAAAGTTTTCATGGAGTCGCTGCGCAGCTACCTATAACTCGTAGGATAGAGATTAAGGCTATTCAGACAGGTCTCATATGGCGGTGCTCCTTGACACCTTATTAACTTTACGGCTCGCCTCAACACCCTTTCGAGTAGATTGTAATGTTGCTGCGGCTAGGGTCTGCAGGCCCGCATCATATACGCAAGATGCGGTCGTACAAACGTGTCGAAGACTTAGGAGGAGCCTGCTTGGTGGCGCACAGCATTGCGGCTGTAGCGTAGGCTGCCTCATAACACTAAGTTAAAGGCTTTAGAGTGTCTGTTATTTTTACTCCGACAAACTTGTTGTTTCGGCTTTTGAGAGTGGCCTTCCGTGCATATAGTAGGACCGTGTATCGGGGACCTGGTTTCGATTTCTGAGACGTAGCATGCTGAATTTAAATAAATAAATTATATTTCTAATAGCCATTGGGGTACTATCAACGCAAACTGATAGACAGGACAGGAGCTATCTGCAGGATCGTTCGTCCGATTCGTGGAATTTAGTTTCGTCGACAGCATTGTGGATGACTTTTCAGATTTGGGGGACTCTGTGCTCTATGAATGGTCACTTTGAATGCT